CAAAACAGGAAATGTTTCATGACTCATCACATTGATTAGTCTACATCAGTACAGTCTTGCCATGGGAGCGTAACTTGAAGAATCCATGCAAAACTTTGTCTTTTTTTTTCAGATCAGCAAGTTAAGCTGTCTATAACAGTAGCAGACAGTATTTCCTTGGTAGGAAAAAGAATTCTCCTCAGTAAGTTAGAAGTTATGATCACAGAAGATGTACAGAGTGAGGCAGTGTTCAATGAAATAATGAAGATGTATAAACAGTTGAAGTCTGAAGTGAAAGATGACACAATTAGTGAAGAAGGAAAGAGGACCCTTTTAAACATTATAAATGAGCTATTCACAAGAACTGTGCTGCATGATGAGCAAAGGTTCAAAGAGACAATGAAAAGACTTCACATGTTAAAGGCTGAAATAAGGGAGCTATGTGAGGGATGTGTTCTCTGTAAACTGAGGTTCTACCATAGAGACAGTCAGGTAGAGTTTGTGTCAGCTTGTAGAGATGGGACCCTGTCAGCCATCCTGACTGAGGAGTACATCAGCCAGGAGTTGGTGGAGATATGTGGAGGGATGCCGCTCCATGTGCACATTGAGGTTGATGAGGAAGACTTTCAGAGAGGAGCAGATATTTCCCATGGTGGTGAGGAATTTAGAAATATTTATGTCATACCTATAACCTGGGGCCATGTGGGTGTTCTGGACCAGTCTTTATTTTAGGCCACAAAATCTTAATTTTATGGATGACACTTCTGAAGACCCAGTATACATGTACATATGTTTGTAGGAGTGTTTTTGAAATACATGTACCGGACTACTGGTATTACATTTTTTCAAAAAATTTACAACAAATACATGTATACCTTTAAAAAATGGAATATTTCACAGAACACCCCTATCTTCAGGGACATTGGTCATTATTATTAAATCTTGATGGCTTTTCTCAAAGCAGATGTTGAGTTACAATGTTGTTTTATTGCTCCTTGTCTAAAAGAAATGGAAGTGCTTCAAATCTAAAAGAAATGAACTTTGTTGACAACATTGGGAAATGTTTTGATTATTATTATAAATAATATTGGAAAATGTTTTGATTATTATTATAAATGACAGCCTCTACCACAATGATAAATACATTCACTGGCCTGTTACAAAGCAGATGGCATCCTGTCTGAGCCTAAGCCAAGGTGAATAGTTTATTTCAGAAGCCACTTTGTAGGCAAAAAAAAGGTGACTTGTGCAACGGGCAACCTGGCGTTTCCCACAAGTCTCACACAGAAAATATGACTTGTGTGCAAAAGTGGGTATTTTGAACCCTGTCTAATAATGTAATCACAATGATGAAGCATGTATTTTTCACATACAGCAGAATCTGGTCACCCATGTTCACAGTATTTGAGGCTATACATGTAGGATGCATTGCTGAGGTTTGCATAATGCCTACCTAGATATTCATTCATATTCCATAGATAATAAAGAGACTACAGATTTTGAAGAACCTGGTGAAAAAGATGTGCCACCGGAGATCTCAGAACTGGTCTCACTGGACATCAGGGAACTGGAACAACTGATGATGGGAAAACCCAGGAAGAAAACATTCTCAAGGAGCTCTTGGTCATCTGGGTATGGAACAGGCCCTTCTGGATCAGCACCCAGCAGACCATTCTCATATACAGGTATATGTAGGGGCATGCTAAATGATTCACTAACAACTTTGGTAATCTATGCAAGTAAAGTGACACTAATAATAGAGACAATTATTATAAATTGTGCATGCTTGTACCTCTTTGTTGCAGGACCTTTAGAATACACAAGCGTTTTAGTAACTACATGGACAATGTCATGTAACAGTAACTGTTGCACTAATGCAAAGGTCAGAAAGTACTTAGTACCCCATGGTGGCAATGCCAAATGACATTATATAATTAAGAGAAAGCAGAGAAGGCATCAAGCCACACCTTAATAGTAAGTACTAAAAACACACTACTTAAAGTATAATATACTTATCATCTGCAACAAGAACTCACAACACTTAAAATCAGTTGAGTGAAAGCTGTTGTTTTTTAACTAGGTGAGATTGATACCAAGGACACGCTGGAGGTCAAGGGTCTCCTTGCTGAACTCAACACACCTGTGGTAAAGCAAGACAAGGCACAACAGTTTGACCTGTACTGTCAGATAGGAGATCTCTACAGGACAAAACTACACAACTTACAGTCAGCTCTGCAGTATTACCAGAACATGTTAGACTGTTCTCAGGAACTGTCAGAAGACACAAAACAAGCCAAGGCCTACAACAGACTAGGTTTAACATGTGATATCTTAGGTTTACCACAGGAAGCCTTTAGAAATCATGAGAAAGCTCTGGCTATCTACAAAGTAGAAACCAAAAATGAAACTAATATTTGTGTAGCTTACAAAAACCTGGCCTCATCATTAGCACTGTCAGGTCAAGTGTCAGATTCAAAAATCAACTATGAATCAGCCTTGGCTGTTGCCATGGAGACAGGAAACAAGACCGAACAGATAGACATTTACTGTAAGCTGGGTGATTTACACAGAGAACAGCTACATGAACCACAGGAATCACACAAGTACTACACAGAGATGTTGGCACTAGCCAGGGACTTGGGGAGGAAGGACAGGGAGAGGCAGGCTTACAACAGACTTGGACATGCCCATTATGACATGGGGGAGTATGAAGAAAGTTTGGAGTGGAGCAAGAAAGACCTGAAGATGAGCCAAGAAAGTGGAGACAAGACTGGACAGATAATAGCACATATAAACATAGCTGATTCCTACGAGGCACTGGGTAAACTGGACCTGGCCAGATCTCACTATCAATCAGCAATGACCATCGCCATGGAGACAGGAAACAAACAGCAACAGATGGACATTTACTGTAAGCTGGGTGATTTACACAGGAAACAGCTACATGAACCACAGGAATCACACAAGTACTACACAGAGATGTTGGCACTAGCCAGGGACTTGGGGAGGAAGGACAGGGAGAGTCAGGCTTACAACAGACTTGGACTGGCTCATCATGACATGGGGGAGTATGAGGAAAGCTTGGATCGGCACAAGAAGCACCTGAAGATGAGACAAGAAAGTGGAGATAAGACTGAACAGATAACAGCACATAAAAACATAGCTGTTTCCTACAAGGCACTGGGTAAACTGGACCTGGCCAGATCTCACTATCAATCAGCAATGACCATCGCCATGGAGACAGGAAACAAGACTGAACAGATGGACATTTACTGTGAGCTGGGTGATTTACACAGGGAACAGCTACATGAACCACAGGAATCACACAAGTACTACACAGAGATGTTGGCACTAGCCAGGGACTTGGGGAGGAAGGACAAGGAGAGTCTGGCATACAACAGACTTGGACGGGTCCATTATGTCATGGGGGAGCATGACGAAACTTTGGAGTGGGACAAGAAGAACCTGAAGATGAGCCAAGAAAGTGGAGATAAAACTGAACAGATAATAGTACATAAAAATATAGCTGATTCCTACAAGGCACTGGGTAAACTGGACCTGGCCAGATCTCACTATCAATCAGCAATGACCATCGCCATGGAGACAGGAAACAAACAGGAACAGGAGGACATTACCAAGAAGCTGGCTAATCTGTAACAATACAGGAGGCTGATGACAACTTTACATCTTTACAGTACAAGACTGTAAAGTAAAATGACTAAAAGACCATATACAGGAGAAAGCTCCTATTAACTGTATTTATGGGTTCACCACACCACGAAGTGGTGTGGTGAAACCATATTGCTTTTTCTGATGTTTCTTCTCCTTCTTCTCCTGCCATTTTTTAAATGGATTCAGCTTCTTCATTTTAGGGCCTAAGGTCCTGAAATTTGGTATGGAGGTACAGTGGGCAAATACCCCTAGGCGTTTTTTAAATTATTGTGATACAGGCTTTTAGAATGGTTTTATTTGAGTTTTTTGGCTGTGTTATAGCAAATGTATTACTGTGTTAGTTTGCCTTGTTTACCACGTTTGGGCATGAGTCATCAAAATGGAATGCAGGGCATCAACCAATAGGCATGCAGCTTTCCTCTATACTTCTTGCTGATTGGCTGTTGGGATTTAACTTGATTAACACCTGCACAGAAGCATTTCCATACTGACAGTATGTCTGTATTCAAGTGTTTTGGTAGGTATTTCAAGCTTTCCTGCTCCAGCATTGGAATGCCGGGCATGGACGTTTTTTTTTTATTTTGAAAATCAACAGTTTGCATTATGCAATTAAAAATCCTAACCAATAAAGTAGGGAATAGCTATCCAACTGTTGTTTTAGTTGTATTTTACTTCATATTATAGTTATATCAATGTAAATCATTGTTTTCCCTTGTGTTTCTCATTCTTTCCCTGCCATGTGGTAAAATGTGGTGAACCCATCGCTGTATTTGCTCCAAAGCAAATATTGGCCTTTCTAGTTCAATAATGAAAGCTGCTTTAGTTTTGCAGTAAATTTACAGCACAAGTCACCAGAAATACCATTTACTTTCGTAAGTTACATCTAGATGCCAAATCTGTACCACTGTGGTATCTGGTACACAATATCATGTTGAACATATAACATTACTACCTCACCTTTGTTGTAAATAGCACATCAGGATAGACCTTAACAATACTGTTAAAGAGAAAAGGAATGTAAACGGTATTCTCAAGATTAAGACACTGTACTACATGTATGTAGAATTGATTATAAAACAGAAGAATTTCAGAAACTCCAGTCCACAAGTCAAATGATGACATATATTTAAAGTAACACTCAATTTTGGAGATATGATGAGTACAACATAACTGTGCATTATGTGGGTAAGCAGGCATGGAAATATGTTGACCCCAGGTGACCTGACTTGGGGATTCAGGAAGATTTGATAATCTAGATTAATATTGACTTTAAAATCGGTAAATAAAAAAAAGGAATTCCTTGAGCTTCCCTTATAGTCTGTAGATTTGTGGTGAAAATGTTGTGCAACATTACTACTGTAACAACTCAAGTCTGACCTTTACCTCCACCAATCCCATACTCTCCACGCATGCAGTACTGTGACCCTCCAAAATTAGGTTATCAATTTACATTACAAAAACAAAACAGAAACACTCACAGATCTTCAAAGGCCTTTTCAGCAAATCAGAAGACATAGTACAGTCCCCTGACATGAAGATTATAAAACAGTGACAGTCAGAAGGAGGAGAACACTGGTTCAACACTTTTTTGAAAGTTCCATCTTCGCGCTATAGGAGGGATGTCAAAGCTCTCCGGACGAGTCCATTTGTAGAGGGTCGACCACAGAGGTTACAGTAAACAAAAACAGATGTAAAACAAAATTAATTGGATCCTGGCTGCTTATAATGCAGTGAGATATGACATGGCTTTAGAAAAGAGTGGAGTACACAATGCTGTATTAAACAAGATCTGACATTTCTTTCTAGAATTCAATTAAGTTTTCACTGCATCACAGTATCCCAAAAGTCATATTGACAAATTTTGAAAGTATACTTGCATAATACACAAAATCCATTTCACTTTTATTTGTATTTTTATACGTTTATTTATTGACCATTATGGTTGATATTACGTTGGATGGCATTTCAGTACTAAGGACAATGTTGGCTATTTATACTATAGGCTAGGAAAAAGTATAATTAGAAGAGAAACATTTGCAAAGCAGATGCATACCATATCAATGTTTACATGGTCTATCCTATTGGGATATAAATGACTATTTAAGAAACTAAGAAACTTCTGTTTATTGTTACTCAAATACATTCGTACATACAATTGGCTTCTTGTAAGTGTGAGAACACTGGGCACTGAACAAGACTACTTTCTGAAAGGGATGAAAGAAGATATTTACAGGGCCCATCAGGCTTCCCTCTACCGCGACGGGGGCCGACATCGTTTAACAGATACCTTTGACTCAGTGTTGACGTCACACTTCCATGAAGCCACATAAGAAGTCTCATTGCGTCAGTCTATTGAAGAGTGCCTGGTCGAAAGCTCTAGGTGAGAACCATCCTTTGTATAAAGTTTTACATTTTAAACATACAACACAGACAAACTTTCATGATAGCCTACACTCTTAAAACACACATCAAGTGATATCCATTTCACCTTAATTCACAAGGACCTAAAACAGCAACGACAACGATACGTTGATATCAAATATGCAGATTCTAAAAGAAAACTCGACAGATAATTATTCTAATTCGTCCCTATTTCTAGACTACATTTAAGTAGAGAAGAAGTGTTCTTGATTTCATATATCCATTGGTATACAGTCGTGAGAGCTGACATTTGTATTTGTTCCAGACTGTACTTCGGCAATTGCTCGAACCACGTATCCAGAATCTGCAAAGTTATTAAAACAGAGGACACGTCCCTTTTAATTTTTTTCACGACAAAATGTTATGTCTGAGTTTAAAACTACGGTTAAAAATCATTTTAATACAATTACAAATGTTTATTAGAGCTTCGTGATTTCAAACCTTTGCCAAACACCCAAAACAATTCCTCCATTTTCATGGACGCAATAAGGTAGGGAACGTTTCATGGGGGTTTCGTGAACCATTGTTACTATTAAAAAGCACTGCATGGGTATTGAGGACTATGGAAATATAGAGGAGCACTACATGGAATTTTATGGTGGATATGGAACAGTCTATTTTAGAGTGGGAGTATGGACTGAAATATGCTGTTATATAGTATTTGCTGCCGAGCAAATATCTGCCCTTCTGAGTTAATACATGTATGTCATGGGAAAATCTTATTAATAACTTTTTATTGTACTAAGTCTTTTAATACAAAGACCATACATACAAACAAGGTCCATAGACTTGAGTTTGGTATCTCCATTTGTCTACATGATTAATATTGTGTTTTAACTCAACAGAAAGCTTGCTTATTTCCTGCCAAATTGTACGTACCGCTCATTGTTTTGTTCATTCGAACCGTCCCCCACTTCCCTCTATCAGAGACTGGATTTCCTTTACTTCCTTATCAGCCAGGTTAGTGTCCGATCTATAGCTAAAGTTGTCAATGAAGTTAATCCTATGTCTCCCTTCTTTTATGGGTTCCCAACTATGATCTGAAAGGACTGTAACTTGGATGCAATAATACATGTAACTATCAGGGTGCTGCAAGTTTCATTCTGTTTTTGATCTTCTCTGTAACTACGTACCCATTATGGAATTTTTGTTCAAAGGAGATATTAAGAAACATATAGAGCATTCTTGTGTAGCAATCATTTAAACGTTTCCTCATTTTTCAGCACTCATTACACTATGAACTATTCAGGAACTATCATATGGCTGTCATTCATATAGGCACAAATCTAGTAAATTGAGTCGTCAATTACTACCAAGGACTGCCACAAGGACAAACATACACAGGCATAGGGTAGTCAATTCACTCAACCAGCTTGTTTTGTGCTCTGCAATCCACCGTGCATTGACTTATTGTTTACATTGGCAGTGTGGCTTAACTCAATTGTAACACAGTGACTGTGGGCAAACCAAACAACACGTATCTGAGAACAACCTTCTAAAGGCAGGGCTGGTAATATTATCCACTACCCACAATCCACTGTTTATTCATGATTTATACTGAATATTGCAAGGGAACGAAAATGGAAAGAAACATTCGAGTACAACCTTTGCTGAGAAGATACTTTGATATCTTAGTTAATGACCTCCACGTACAAAAATGAGAGAAAATTTTGACATCCCTGCAAGTAGTATCTTGGTAGTATGTTCCACAATTGTTGTCTCACAGCAATCGCTTTTGTCCAGATGTAACTGATCCGACACTGGTGTAAGTTAGGGGATCTCCAAGTAGTGTGACCTTGAAAAATATTATCTGACTACTTGTAAAACTAATCATAGATATGAAGAAATGAGTTCTGGATGGAAAAATTTAACAAAAACACAGAAATAATAGGATAGAGAGAGACGATTTTCATAAGATTGGCCAATGAAATAGACCATAACAAGTATCACTTTTCATGCGCACTTTGACCTTGAGCCAGAGACGCTACCTTTACCTGGCCCCCTGATGGGTTGGGATCATGGACAAGGGCATGATTTTTGAGTCTACCACAGGTGAGTTAGGTTCTTGACTTTAACAACATAAAAGAATATGTTCTTGCGGCACTGTCTACAACAATAATTTCCGTAAAAAGTTGAAAGGTTATGTAATCTTTGTTGATTTGTTAACTTTCTGCATGACTATCAAACATTTTGCTTCCAGGCACAAAAAAATGACTGTTTTGATGGTCAACACCACAAAAAACCTTGAAATTTGGAAGAACCTGTTATCATATCCTCAACTCTAACTATCTGTAGAATTGTCTCATCGAATTTTACCGAACAAAGTCCCCCTAAAATCATGAAAACTCAAGACAAAATAGGTCTTACCTAATACTGTGTATCGTTGCCACATATTACTTTCTGTCTTCTTCAATCTTGTTTTTCTCACCAGCAGCATATCAAGACAGCATGAAAATCCACAGCTAATACACAGGGACAAACATGGGTAAGTAACTCTCAGCACTCATTATAACCTGAGCCAATACGAACTTACATGTAAAAGGCATTACATGATTACGTGTTTACTGTGGCACCGGCCGTGCATTGAAGGAGTGCGTATTTTATTCAAGTTTTTCCATTTTATGTTTCCGCCGGGAATATTTGTCTCCAACCTACCGCAAATCGGGGGTGCACACTTTAATCTGGAATATACGGTACAGTGTAGTTCTGAATACAAAGTTGTGGAACGAAAGTTAATATATCCTGAAATTTTACTGTCTTTACTGCAGACTCTCTATTTTGTAAAGACTGGAGTAGCCCTTAATATTGCTGCTTGGCGAAAAAATTTACTTATTACCTCCGCTGTTATTTTGGTGATGCATTAGGGGCAAGCATTATAACTGCATACATCTGTAATCTGTCTGCAACAATTCTTTGGTGTAGGAATTTCTGTAATTTCCGTGACTTGAGTATAGAAGACTATCAGTTAAGATGATCAATACAACATTATTTCGATAGTTAATGACACAAAATAAACTAACAAAGATTATAAAAGCTCAAATACTTAATGATGGTAAGAAATTCTTGTTGAACTTTTCAAACCACGATGGCTTCTACTGGGTAACTGACAGTGTCATGGCTTGCTCTATTCTGAATCATGGCACTGCTGCAATTGGGACTTTGAATTTGATAAAAATTAAATGAACTGTTTATTTACATGATGTATTATAATAACAAGTACTTTCCCTTATTACAGAGAGCCTTGCTGTTTTGCTGATTCAGGACGGGTACAACACATCTCAAGGAAAGATCACCATAAATCCAAAGCTGGGGAAAATATTCAAGGAAAATGACATTCCTGTCTTCAGTACTGTTTTACAAGCAAGCGAACAGGACAAACAAGATGCACAACAAGATGGAGTGGAACTGTTACTGCCCAGACTTGACCCAGATGATTCTAGAACTGATCCCTCTTTGGACTGGCTGACCTTTGACCACCATGTGAAATATCCACATCTCCCCCCAAAGATCAGATGCACTGTGGGACATACTAATGCTACAAGTAGGGCAGCAATAAGAATAAAGAAAGAACGGTACCCAGACACTGGGGTTATCCTCTTTTCTAGTGACATACCGGAAGACACCGAGTACTACAAGGGGGATGAGGAAGCCATGGGCATTGGGAAGAAGGAAGACTCCATCCTTGAAGATGCACAAGAGGCTGATGTGGTCTTCTCTCTTGGAAACAAGATATTTGATCACTTTGAGAACCAGTTCAGAGCTATACCTGCCAGCAAGAGGCCTCGGCATGTCAAGTTTGTTCCAAGACCCTCCAAGATCTTTGAAGATGCAGAGATAGAATACAAGGACACAGAGACAATGGTGGTCCTATCCATTGGTAGGGTGAAGGGTGTAGAGAAGCTGAAGGGATATGACCTTGCTGCTGAAACCCTGAGCATTGTTGCAGAGAAGATCAAAATCAAGTGGCATGTCATAGGAGTTGACAAAGATGACTTTGAAGCAACCAAGGCCATCCTTGAGCACTGTAAGTCAGCAAACTTACAGGTAACCTTCCTCCCCTATGGCACACAGAAGGACATCTGTAGAGAGATGATGAAGGCCCACCTGGTCCTGATGCCTTCTCGTGCTGAACCGTTCGGACTGGTTGGCCTGGAGGCCATTGCAGCAGGCGTTCCTGTTCTTGTATCCAGCAATTCTGGACTAGCAGACTTCATCCATGAACATGTAGATGAACTGCATCATTCCATTGTTGACATGGATGGAAGCGATGAAGGTACCACTGTCAGACGTTGGGCTGATGCCATAGAGAGGGTGCTGAAACACAACAGAGCAGAGTTCAAAACAGCAGCAAGAGGCAAGCAGCAACTTCTGTCCTCAAAGTACTGGGAAGAGTTCCATTTGCAGTTCATCATAGCCTGTACTGATACAGGTAAATCGGCTTTATATTTGGGTTAGCAGCTGTTATTGACTGGCAAATACACTTCTCAAAGATTCCCAACAAATTCATACAGCCTCATGCAGATTCATCTTTTATTTTAAATTATCATTATTCTTATATTCCAACATTTATATGTCCTACAGTTCAGTTATCCATGAATTTATTGTTAGTCTTTTGATCTTACATTTCATGAACTTGAACTGTGCCCAGGTAATGCTGAAGAACAGCCTGCTCCAGTCCTGGACCAAAGTGTTGTTCAAAGTCAGGAGACAGAGGAAGGTATGGATAACCTTAGCCTCAAAGTATGTAAGGTAAAAGGTAGTGTTTGTCACCAAGGTCTGTTATCTTGAGGTTCACAACTTATGGAATGGGACCATAAGTACAAATGTATAGACCAATCCAACATGGCAATTTTACTTACCCCTCTTATGCTTTCATTGGTTTTTCATTAATTGCAGAACTGCACTATACAATGTAAACAATATACAACTGCAGGTTGAATGGCCAAAGGGAGACCTGACCCGCAGGAAGGCTTAGGCCCAAGGGTGCTGGGCCTAAGCCTTTCTGGGAATATACCATGTTGTCTTCTATTTTACACCAAGGTTGAACAATTACTGTAACAGCATTATGTTTTTTTTTTTGGTTGCAAAACAGCGAAAAATATCACGCGCTGTCCAGGATTTATATACAGCAAATTTCTCAATGTTAGGTAAAATATATTTTATTCCATGCATCATTTTTCTATAACTGTTATCTTCTGAATCAGTAACTGTTACAGTAACTGTTAGTTATAATTTAAACTTTGTCCAGGTAATGAAACGCCACATCCTGGTCAAGTCCAAAAGAGAGAAAGAGACACAGAACCTACTGGTGAGACAGAAAGCAGGAAAGCAACAAAGAAAGGTAAGTTTTAGGCAATACTTGTCAGTGAAAGGTGGTTAAGTTAACATTTCCTTTTCAAAAGTGCTTGTGGAATCAAGTTTATTTCTTGCCTTGCCTATACATGTAAGTCACTATGGCTTATGCTTTTGATCAAACAATTAAGTGTCAAACTTGAATGTGACTTTTTAACAATTGAATGCCAATGGGTGATTAACCATACAGCTGATACAGACAGCCTGTTTCAAAAGAGCATCAACTATAATGTTTTTTTTTACCTTGGCTTAATGTGACAGTCATGGACATGAAATGAAAAGACATTGTTGCTCAAAGCACAGAATGCAATAAATCTTTTCCTACATACGTGTAGTTAATATTGGTCATAATACATCTCTTCTAGGGCAACCTCCTCCACTGCCTATTGTGGTAGAAATACTTGCACAGGTCATACCCAGTGTTAAATCTCCAAAGGAAATGAAAAACTATGCCTCTGCAAGAGAGACACTTCTCACATTAGACCCCACCACAGTTACAGATGAAACTGTCTATCTTCTGGAAAACATAAGGCCTGAAATCAAGACCATGGAAGACTTGCTTGACACTGCAGAAGCAATCAAGCAAATAGAGAAAATCAAGGGTGTTAATGTAATAATTGTAAAGCCGGGCAGTCTGATCTTCTACCTGCAATGTACAGACTTGTCTGGGTTAGGGGACCTCTGGTTCATGTACAAAAGTGGAGAACTAAGCAACATGCTGCACAGTAGTTTGATAAGGGAGGAAACCTTACAGCAACTCTGTGCTGAGAGTGTCTCTGTGACGACAAACATCAACATGGAGGACTTCAGGAAGGCCCTGGTCTACCTACTCACTACATCCTCTGCAGAAGGTAACTTCATAACAAACACTTTGTTTTCTAAGCTCATTATTACACCAAATTGTTATTTATCCCTTATCATTTCACCTGTAACAGCCATGATAATATCTTTTTGAAAAGTCAAGTCTACTATCTGCCATCATTTTAGCATTACACATAAATGTAAAGCAACCAAGCAGATTTGGAATAAATCATGTAATTCTAAATTAGTTTTCATAATGTCTTTCACTTAGCAATCAATAGAATGTTTAAAATAATAAATTTTTGTACTTGATGTTGAAGACCAACCCATCCCAAGACTACCCCAGGAGTACCCCCTCTACCAGCCACACACCCACACCACTGCCAGTGTGCTGGATGTACTTCATCTGGATGGTACAAACCTGGCAAGGTCTTCTGGGAAACAACAGGAGCTACACATCCCTCCAGCTACACAGACTGAGGACAGTCTGGATCATCTTGGGGCCAAACTTCGCGAACTGAAAATGACAGGTACAAAATGAGTATGATAATTAATATTTGTGATTGGAGTACACCAAACTGTACAAAGGTCATGTGCATATCAGATCAGATCATCAGGGCTCAAAACACTTCCTATAGCTATAAAGTTAACACACTGAGTGTGTTAGGTCGTATCTTGAACCTCCATGATTATGCTTCAGAAAATGTATTTTTCTAAGCTCATATTAATAAACTCACAGATGATCAACAGACTACAGAAGCACATGCCACCACAGATGTGCCTGAAGTGATCTCAGAACTGGTCTCACTGGACATCAGGGAACTGGAACAACTGATGGGAAAACCCAGGAAGAGAACTTCCTCCATGGGTTCTCAGACATCTGGGTATCAAACAGGCACTCCAGGATCAGGACCCAGCAGACCATACTCGCCTACAGGTCAGTATTAATGATACATTGACAGTCACTGAGTTATGATTTCTACATCTAGATGAAGGCCTGCATGGGGGGAGGGGGTGTTAGTGATTACAAATTATGCAAAATTTTCGCTACCGATTACGAATTAATGTCTCAGAGCTGATTACAACTTTACACTTTGTAGCTAATGTACTTTTACAAATTACATTGATTTTGGGGGAGGCTGCCTAGAGATTACGAAGACTAAAAAGGCCTGATTACGACTTACGAAAAAGAGCATGCAGGCCCCCCTAGATGAAAGGGTGACAGTGCCAACTTCACTACAAAAAAATTTACTTTATGTTCGCGGTAGCAAAAGGTCGTAGTCTGAGAAAAATGGACATGTTCATGAAACTAAATGTATATGTTCGCAGTGGCAGGGCGATTATTGTTTGTTCAATGTATTAATAAGTTTGCAGTAGAGAAGTGACCATCAAAACTGCAAAGTTAACATAAAAGTATTCATATTAGTCACAAAAATCTGTAAAAAGTATAGTAGGTTGAAAAGAAATACTAACTAAAGTAAATATCTTTGTCGAAAGTGAATAATTTTCTTTTGCAAAGGGGATGAGGAAAAAGGACAAAAGAATGTAGCTGGTGGGATTAAAATCATGTACAAAAAGGAATATTTGATAAACAGCAGGATTGTACAGTATACTTGAACTGTCAACTAATGTTGTCATAGGGGCAATGTAAAGACTAGTCTTAATTAGACTAAATCAGGTTAGATAGTTAACTTTAATAATCTCTACTTGCCTTCCAAATTTCACTTCTAGGTGAGGTTGAAACACAGACCATACTAGGGACTCTCCTTGCTGAACTGAACACACCTGCAGTGATGGAAGACAAGGTACAACAGTTTGACCTGTACTGTCAGATAGGTGATCTCTACAGGACAAAACTACACAACTTACAGTCAGCTCTGCAGTATTACCAGAACATGTTAGAGTGTTCTCAGGAACTGTCAGAAGACACAAAACAAGCCAAGGCCTACAACAGACTAGGTTTAACATATGACATCCTTGGTTTGCAACAGGAAGCCTTTAGAAATCATGAGAAAGCTCTGGCTATCTATAGAGTAGAAACCAGAAATGAAACTAACATTTGTGTAGCGTACAAAAACCTGGCCTCATCATTAGCACTGTCAGGTCAAGTGTCAGATGCAAAAACTAACTATGAATCAGCCTTGGCTGTTGCCATGGAGACAGGAAACAAGACTGAACAGATGGACATTTACTGTAAGCTGGGTGATTTACACAGGGAACAGCTACAGGAACCACAGGAATCACACAAGTACTACACAGAGATGTTGGCACTAGCCAGGGACTTGGGGAGGAAGGACTGGGAGAGTCTGGCTTACAACAGACTGGGACATGCCCATTATGACATGGGGGAGCATGAGGAAAGTTTGGAGTGGTACAGAAAGCACCTGAAGATGAGCCAAGAAAGTGGAGACAAGACTGAACAGATAACAGCACATAAAAACATAGCTCGTTCCTACAAGGCACTGGGTAAACTGGACCTGGCTAGATCTCACTATCAATCAGCAATGACCATTGCCATGGAGACAGGAAACAAGACTGAACAGATGGACATTTCCTTACAGCTGGGTGATTTACACAGAGAACAGCTACATGAACCACAGGAATCACACAAGTACTACACAGAGATGTTGGCACTAGCCAGGGACTTGGGGAGGAAGGACTGGGAGGGGCTGGCTTACAACAGACTTGGACATGCCCATTATGACATGGGGGAGCATGAGGAAAGTTTGGAGTGGTACAAGAAGGACCTGAAGATGAGACAAGAAAGTGGAGACAAGACTGAACAGATAACAGCACATCAATGTCTAGCTGTTTCCTACCAGGCACTGGGTAAACTGGACCTGGCCAGATCTCACTATCAATCAGCAATGACCATCGCCATGGAGACAGGAAACAAACAGCAACAGGAGGACATTGCCAAGAAACTGGCTAATCTGTAACAATACAGGAGACTGATGACAACTTTATAGTACAAGACTGTAAAGTAAAATGACTAAACTTGTTTAAGGATAAATATACAGGACAAAACTTATTTATTTATTTTATTCATCTCTCAAAACTCAAATTTACTGTATCTCAACAAATGTAGCTGCTTTAGTTTTGCAGCAACTAGTATTCAGTTCAGTTCATCCTAATCAGGTGACACCATGTACTGTCGTCTCCACAAGTTCCTGTCACGCATGACAGAGGACAGTTCAGCACCGCCCAGACCTATGTCCTCCTCGATCACCCTCTTCAGAGTTAAAGAAGGGTGACCACGTCTCCGCTTTTCTGTTGGTGACCAGAGAAGTACTAACCCTGCCATCTCTTCATGTCGCATGACATGACTGGCCAGTGACAGCCTATATATATATATATATATGGTTACAGATGACTTGTATAGAAAAAGCAATTTCCTTGTTATATCTAAAATTTGCCCCAAATATTGGGAGATACAATAAAATCATGTAACATTTAGTCTAAAATGTTATATGACTGTATTGTAAGTATCTGGGGCAAAATATCATGTTAATCTACCTCATCTTTGCTGTAAATAGCACATGAGGATAGAATAATATACATGTAAGTTACATGTATAATAACACTGTTCAACAGAAAAGGAATGTAAACAATAATGTCATAAGACACTGTTCTATTAGTTCATGTTTAAAAAATAAACCATTTCGAGTTTAATTTCTACCATTCTGCAATTCAAGAGATTAAATATACTTCAAGTAACACTCTTATGATGAGTAAAACATTACTATGGGACATGACAAAATTTAATAAAAACTTACATTATGTGGGTAAGCAGGACTGGATAACTATGTTGACCCCAGGTGACCCAACTTGGGGACAACCATCAGGATTTGATGAATTTTCAATCTTGAGTTTGAAATTGGCAAATAAAAGATCAATAAAGTGTTTTCTTGAGCCGCCTGTTAGGTCTGTACATTTGTCCGTAAATAGTCGTGCAGCAATTACAACTGAAGTCTGAGATATGTCCTCTAATCCTCACTGTTTCTTATTATTTTGAACCTCTCCATGTAGTACTGAGCACAGCTGTTTTTGTACACTAAATTTTACAGACCCTCCTAAATTAGTTGATATATATAGATTATAGAACAAAACAAAACTGAAACACTCACAGATCTTTGGAGGCCTTTTCAGCAAGCCAGAATACACAAATCACTCTTAGACTAGGGCTAGGGCCATGAACAAAATTCAGCCAGAAGTTAAAGATAGCTCAGGTTTACAGTTTGATCTTGATCACCCTCAGGAGGGATGTCAAAGGTCAACAGATGAGTCCATGTTGACAGGGTGGAGAGAAGTTTGTATGTAAAACTTTCCAGAAGGAAGAATACAATTCTGCTCACAAATGTTTGAAAAGCTGTGAGATTAAAAGGCTCTAAAGATAAGAGTAGCACATACATACATGATGTATACTGTAACAAGGTCTGGGGTTTATTCCCAGAACTCAGTCCAGAGGCTGGTGCTTTCACTTACCTGTACTCATAGGTTGATAAAATATAACTAGACAGTTTTTTTATATTTGATATGACTTTAAGGTTGTTATTGAAAATGTTGAAAATATATATTATGTAACTATATCCAATCCAAATGTGTATTCAGAACTTTCATCAAGATGCAAAAACAAACAAACAAACATTAGACATCTGAAAGCTTCTAAATAACAACTTTCAGAACATTTACTTAGTCTGTAACTCTTTTACATTATTATGGAACAAGGGCTATAGCCAACCTGTGTAAAATGCCATTTGATAGCACTTCAGCACCAAGGGCAAGAACATCATACTGATAAAACAGGACAAGACAAAGAGTAAATTGTTGAAAGGCAATTATCACCTCCATACTCAATGGATGTCTGTAACCTTCACTTGTCTAAATCTTACATGTTTGATGGCACTTCAGCACCAAGGGCAGGAACATCATACTGATAAAACAGGACAAGACAATGTAAAGAGTAAATTGTTGAATGGGCAGTTATCACCTCCATACTCAATGGATGTCTGTAACCTTCATTTGTCTAAATGTTATATATTTGATGGCACTTCAGCACCAAGAGCAAAAACTGCAGACTAGCTGAAATTTGAGGAAAAAAAGACTAAACTGTGAGAAGGAATTTGCCTCTTTAAACTGTAGGCAGTAGATTTTCTCAACTTATAATATTCCACATATTAGCAGAGGTTAGTAAACCTAATTTAGTGAATAACAGCAGATGTGACAATGATGTAGGGAGGTTGGGGAGGGGGGTGTCACATTTATATATTATGTATCTCATAACTCCTTCCTGACTGTTGTGTGCTGAAACAATTTTTACAGGTGTAACAACAAACAGATGAAGGGGGATTTCTGCATCACGACTCAGTCAACATATTCTACAATTTCTGTAGGAGATATGACCAGTTAAACATGGACTTTGAAGCCTGAGTTTTAAAAATGAATAAAACAAAAGATCAAGGAAGGAGATAAAATAAAAGATCAAGATGCAGAACAAACTAATCATCAGTAGATATTTGAAATCTTCTCAAAAATAGTTTTAGAGCATTGACTTACATTGAATAACTTTTTACATTATGATAGGTTGGTTGTAGCTAATCTGTGCAAAATTGAATTTGCTAGCAGTTCAGTTCCAAGGGCAATAACATGTTATTCAACTTTATCTGTGTCCGGCATGTATACACCATTGAACACAAGACTGTTCAAATAAAAACATCAAGTAAAACTATTAAATACAATTTGCAGCTGATTTACTCAAAGTACATGATAACTGATTACACCAAGTAGTCTAACAATTCCCTTGAGCCTTAACAATACTAAGTACAATGCCCTGAACAACATAATGTTGGCTGAGCAAATATACCTCGTGATGGTTTGGTTAGCAAACTTTGTGATCACATGACAGGTAAATATTAACTAACTCAAGCAGCCAACTCTACCCAGCATTCCATAGGGCAAACATCACATCGAAGACAAAATGGCTGCCGCCAACAACTCTTCAAGAAAAGGTAAAGACTTTCAGTTATTTGTTTTCTCTGTCAACATGGAAAGTACAACAGTGTAGATACATTTTACATGGGGTAGTATTAGAACATTTCCTAGCAAAACTTGCAATGCTGTACACAGCAACAAAATACAGTGTGGAAACCAAAGTTCACCAGGAAAAGTTAATGCAGCCATTTTGAATTTTTGAGACATTTACAAACAGAAGTTAAAGTTAATTTATTTACATTTGCTTGAAGCTTCACTGTCAGGCTCTCACTGTCAGACATCAACAACAACTTAAAGCTTTTTATAAATTTTTGACAGTAACTGAAAGGCTGAAATATTTTTAGAAAAAGAATAACTAGTTTGGAGGTCAAAGTCCTCCACAGATCCAGCATTACTGGTAATAATGATTACAATTCAAAGACTATGAGTACCAGATCACTTCTTTGAATAATGACTAAAATTAGATTATTATCTACTTTTTAATTAGCACAATCCACAACTTAGGGGGGTAAGTTGATATGTGTTTTTTTATTGTGATATATAATAGCCAGTATTATATTTCATATGGTACTGTTTGACTTTTGTATAAAATGCAATATACAAGAGTCAGAGCAATATACAAAATAAATGTATGTAAATTGTAAGGGGCAGTGTCAGTAAAAAAGATAATCTTAAGTTATATGATGATTGACCACAGCTGGCAACCTCAAATCAGGACAGGTGATGGTTCAGTTTAAAAGCAATACAGTCATGTAAAATACATGTATTTACCTACTAGTAGATGTACAAGTGTGTAGAAGAGAAATATTGTGAAATTATTCCTTGTAAGTCTGTAGGCTCAGGTAGGATACAGAGCAGACATGATATCTGAATATTTGAAAAGAAATCTTTTTATTCCTAACAGTGTGTTACAATTTTTCTTTTAGAACCCAATGCAGTTCTGCTAGTGACTGATCAGTATGCCACATCTAAAGAAGATGACGTTTCCACCATGAACCGACAGGTGGTTCAAATCCTGACAGGAGCAGGGAGGAAAGTCTACTGTTTGGTGTTGGAGGATACAGAGGAGGACAGAAAGTGTGCTGAGGCTGATGGAGTGGAGCTCATCCTCCCAACCCCCATTGAAGGAGACACAAGAAAACCTTGTCTGGATTGGCTGACCTTTGACCACCGCATCCGCTATCCCAGACTCCCACAGAATATAGGATGGATTGTGGGCCATGCTGATGTCACTAGCAGAGCAGCAGCAGCTATCATGGAACAGCGTTTTCCCCAAGCAAGCATCAGTATTCTCACACAGACTATACCTGAAGACACAGAGAAGTACAAGGAAGAGGAGAAGGCCATGGGCATTGGGAAGAAGGAAGACTCTATCAGACAAGATGCAGAGACGGCAAAAACTCTGTTTTCTGTCGGACACAGAACACATGACCACTTCACAAACACAATTCGTGCAATTCCCAAAGAAAAGAGGCCAGTTCACAAACTCTTTCTTCCAGAACCATCCAAGATATTTCAGGAAACCTCAGTTGAGTATGTCGAGAGCAGGGAGAAAGTTGTTCTGTTGATCAGTAGGGTTAAAGAAGTAGGAAAGCTGAAAGGTCTTGACTTTGTAGCAAAGTCCTTGGCAAGGGTGGCAAAGACAAGTAACAAAAGAATCCAACTACGGATTCGTGGTGTCAGTGAAGAGGAGTATCAGGCCAGTATGAAGATTCTCCAAACCAGCATCAACTCAGGAAAACTGATCCCCACACTTCTCCCACACGGCACCCAGGAAGACATCTGCCGAGACATGCAGCAGGCCCACCTGGTTCTCATGCCCTCCCGCACAGAACCCTTTGGACTGGTTGGTCTGGAGGCCATGGCAGCTGGCGTACCAGTCCTCATATCTGACCAATCAGGACTTGCCACCTTGGTCAATGAGGTCATACCAGAATTCCACCACTCTGTACTTGCTATCAAGGGTGATGATTCTCTAGATGTCAGACAATGGGCAGATCAGATTGAGAAAGTTCTAAAGCTGTCTAAAGCAGAGTTCAGTAGGGCTGCAGCACTCAAACAAAGGCTCCTGGAGTCCAGATACTGGGAAGAGTCTCATCAGAGTTTCCTCCAGGCATGTGGAGGATTAGGTGAGAAACTGTCAATTTGTTTAATCTAGTGTCTATGGTATGTAATGTACCTTCTACCTGCAACTCAATTTGATTTTTAGTCAACAAAAAATAGCTCTAGAAAAACCTCAAATGTATGTTATTATAATTTATAAGATACAGCGGAATGTTCATATTCTGAACAATCAGTTGTGTCTAAAAATTGTGATTTTATGTCCTCTACCTTTGCTGAAAATTTGAACTGTGTTCAGGTACTGAGGCACATCAGCCTGCACAAGTCCAGAAGAGAAAGAGAGAGAGAGATGAGGCTGAGGACACCAATGGAGACAGGAAAGCATTGAAGTTTGGTAAGATTAATAATTTGTTCCAAGAAACCTTCATATCCATTTGCTCAAAAACAAGTAAAGGGGTAGAAAGTTACATTAAATGATTATAACTTTGATATATATACATATACAAGTAAAGGGAGAAGAAACACTTAAAGAAATATTTTAATACTTTAAGAAATATTTCATGACTCATCATATTGATTACATTGTAGAATACTTCACTTACTTGCCATGGGAGGCTAAACGTAAAGAATCCATGCATTTTTTTTCAGATCAGCAAGTAAAGTTGTCCGTAACAGTAGCAGACAGTATTTCCTTGGTAGGAAAAACAATTCTCCTCAGTAAGTTAGAAGTTATGATCACAGAAGATGTACAGAGCGAGGCAGTATTCAATGAAAGAATGGAGATGTATAAACAGTTGAAGTCTGAAGTGATGGATGACACAGTAAGTGAAAAAGGAAAGAAGACCCTTTTAAACATTATAAATGAGCTATTCACAAGAACTGTGTTGCATGATGAGCAAAGGTTCAAAGAGACAATGAAAAGACTTCACATATTAAAGGCTGAAATAAGGGAGCTCTGTGAAGGAAGTGTACTCTGTAAGCTAAGGTTCTACCATAGGGACAGTCAGGTAGAGTTTGTGTCAGCTTGTAGAGATGGTACCCTGTCGGCCATCCTGACTGAGGAGTACATCAGCCAGGAGTTGGTGGAGATATGTGGAGGGATGCCACTCCATGTGCACATTGAGGTTGATGAGGAAGACTTTCAGAGGGGAGCAGACTTAGGTAAGAGATGAATTTCAAGTTTATCAGCTTTGTCAAACCTTTGAGATTTAATAAAAAAAATAATTTTTGTGTCTAATTATCATGAATATATCATTTTACTTTAATATACGTGTAATGTCACCCGTCACAGCCAGTTATTTGTATCTTTTTGATAGTCTTTATGCATTTATAGATGTAAAGCAAATAAGCAGATTGAGGATATAATATTCTAAAGTAGTCTCTGTGCTTTTGTTTACATTTTAATCAATATAAAATGTGTGAAACTAGAAAGGCCGACATTTGCTTTGGAGCAAATACAGCAATGGCTTCACCACATTTTACGACATGGCAGGGAAAGAATGAGAAACACAAGGGAAAACAATGCTTTACATTGATATAACTATAGTATGAAGTAACATACAACTAAGACTACAGCAGTTGGATAGCTATTCCCTACATTATTGGTTAGGATTTTTAATTGCATAATGCAAACTGTTGATTTTCAAGAAAAAAAGAAGTGTTCATGCCCCGCATTCCAATGCTGGAGCAGGAAAGCTTGAAATACCTACCAAAACACTTGAATACAGACATACTGTCAGTATGGAATGGATCTGAGCAGGTATTAATTAAGTTAAGCCTGTTAAATTCCAACAGCCAATCAGCAAGGAGAATAGAGGAAAGCTGCATGCCTATTGGTTGATGCCCTGCATTCCATTGTGATGACTCATGCCCAAATGTGGTAACACTGCACACTAACTCAGTAATACATTTGCTATAACACAGCCAAAAAACTCAAATAAAACCATTCTAAAAGCCTGTATCACAAAAATTTAAAAAACGCCTAGGGGTATTTGCCCACTGTACCTCCATACCAAATTTCAGGACCTTAGGCCCTAAAATGAAGAAGCTGAATCCATTTAAAAAATGGCAGGAGAAGGAGAAGGAGAAGGAGAAGAAACATCAGAAAAAGCAATATGGGTTCACCACCACTTCGTGGTGTGGTGAACCCATAATAATAATAATTTTTTGTACTTGATGTTGAAGACCAACCCATCCCAAGACTACCCCAGGAGTACCCTCCCTACCAGCCACACACCCACACCACTGCCAGTGTGCTGGATGTACTTTATCTGGATGGTACAAACCTGGCAAGGTCTTCTGGGAAACAACAGGAGCTGCACATCCCATCAACTACACAGACAGAGGAGGACAGCCAGGATCATCTTGGGGCCAAACTTCGCGAACTGAAAATGACAGGTACAAAATGAGTATAATAATTAATATTGGTGATTGCAGTACACCAAACTGTGTACAAAAGATCAGATCAGATCATCAGGGCTCAAAACACTTCCTATAGCTATAAACACACTGAGTGTGTTAGGTCGTATCTTGAACCTCCGTGATTATGCTTCAGTAAATGTGTTTTTCTCAGCTCATATTGATAAATTCACAGATGATGAACAGACTACAGATTACGACACCACAGATGTGCCTGAAGTGATCTCAGAACTGGTCTCACTGGACATCAGGGAACTGGAACAACTGATGGGAAAACCCAGGCAGAGAACTTCCTCCATGGGTTCTCAGACATCTGGGTACCAAACAGGCACTCCAGGATCAGGACCCAGCAGACCATACTCACCTACAGGTATGGTACATTGACAGTCACTGCACGGCTCAAAATACCACCTGCAAATGCAGGCTCCTGCAGGTAAAATTGGGGCTCTGTTCTGCATGTGCACTGTGTTCTGATTCCAAAATCTAGAGGAAAGGGTGGCAGTAAACACCAACATCACTATCTAGTTTGAAGAGAAGTACTTACTTTTGATGGAAACATACATGATCCTTTGGGTACCTTTTACCAAAAAGACCCTTTCCTTGTGAAATTATAATCTTATGTTGTGTGCAAAGGGGATCAGGAAAAAGGGACAAGGCAGTGTACATTGTACAATATGTAATGATCATAAACAGCTTTCAAAATGTATTCATAAACAGCTTGCATGTAGCATTCTTCTTCAACAGCTGTGTCAAGTATTGTACTCTTAAAAATGTATTAAACAACCAAATTAAATCAGGTTAACACAAAACTGTAATCTCGAGGACTTGCCTTCCAAATTTCTCTTCTAGGTGAGGTTGAAACACAGACCATACTGGGGACTCTCCTTGCTGAACTGAACACACCTGCAGTGATGGAAGACAAGCCGCAACAGTTTGACTTGTACTGTCAGATAGGTGATCTCTACAGGACAAAACTACACAACTTACAGTCAGCTCTGCAGTATTACCAGTACATGTTAGAGTGTTCTCAGGAACTATCAGAAGACACAAAAGAAGCCAAGGCCTACAACAGACTAGGTTTAACATGTGATATCTTAGGTTTGCGACAGGAAGCCTTTAGAAACCATGAGAAAGCTCTGGCTATCTATAGAATAGAAACCAAAAATGAAACTAACATTTGTGTAGCGTACAAAAACCTGGCCTCATCATTAGCACTGTCAGGTCAAGTGTCAGATGCAAAAATCAACTATGAATCAGCCTTGGCTGTTGCCATGGAGACAGGAAACAAGACTGAACATATGGATATTTACTGTAAGCTGGGTGATTTACACAGGAAACAGCTACATGAACCACAGGAATCACACAAGTACTACACAGAGATGTTGGCACTAGCCAGGGACTTGGGGAGGAAGGACAGGGAGAGTCAGGCTTACAACAGACTTGGAGTGGCCCATTATGACATGGGAGAGCATGAGGAAAGTTTGGAGTGGTACAAGAAGAACATGAAGATGTGCCAAGAAAGTGGAGACAAGACTGAACAGATAACAGCACATCAAAACATGGCTGATTCCTACAAGGCACTGGGTAAACTGGACCAGGCCAGATCTCACTATCAATCAGCAATGACCATCGCCATGGAGACAGGAAACAAGACTGAACAGATGGACATTTACTGTGGTCTGGGTGATTTACACAGGGAACAGCTACATGAACCACAGGAATCACTCAAGTACTACACAGAGATGTTGGCACTAGCCAGGGACTTGGGGAGGAAGGACAAGGAGAGTCAGGCTTACAACAGACTTGGACTGGCCCATTATGACATGGGGGAGCAAGAGGAAAGTTTAGAGTGGTACAAGAAGGACCTGAATATGAGACAAGAAAGTGGAGACAAGACTAATCAGATGACAGCACATCAATGTCTAGCTGCTTCCTACATGGCACTGGGTAAACTGGACCTGGCCAGATCTCACTATCAATCAGCAATGACCTTCGCCATGGAGACAGGAAACAAGACTCAACAGATGTACATTTACTGTGAGCTGGGTGATTTACACAGGGAACAGCTACATGAACCACAGACATCACACAAGTACTACACAGAGATGTCGGCACTAGCCAGGGACTTGGGAAGGAAGGACAGGGAGAGTCTGGCTTACAACAGACTTGGACGGGCCCATTATGACATGGGGGAGCATGAGGACAGTTTGGAGTGGGACAAGAAGTCCCTGAAGATGAGACAAGAAAGTGGAGACAAGACTGGACAGATAACAGCACATCAAGACATAGCTGTTAACTACAAGGAACTGGGTAAACTGGACCTGGCCAGATCTCACTATCAATCAGCAATGACCATCGCCATGGAGACAGGAAACAAACAGAAACAGGAGGACATTGCCAAGAAACTGGCTAATCTGTAATAATACAGGAGACTGATAACAACTTAACACTACAAGACTGTATAAAATTGTATAAAGTAAAATGACTAAACTTGTTTAATGACAATATACAGGACAAAACTTCTATTTAGTAGTACTGTATTTCAAAAATGGCAGCTGCTTTAGTTTTGCAGTAAATTTACAGCACAAGTCACCAGAAATAGCATTCACTTTCGTAAGTTAAATCTAGATGATAAATCTGTACTACTGTGGTATCTGGGACATAATATCATGTTGAACATATAACATTACTACCTCACCTTTGTTGTAAATAACATATCAGGATAGACCTTAACAATACTGTTGAAAGAAAAGGAGTGTAAACGGTATTCTCAAGATTCAGACACTGTACTACATGTTTGTAGAATTGATTATAAAACAAAAGAAACTCCAGTCCACAAGTCAAAAGATGACATATATTGATATTCATCATCAAGGTTGACAAAAGAGGTTACGGGACACAAAAACAGATGTAAAACAAAATTAATTGGATCCTGGCTGCTTACAATGTAGTGAGATATGACATGGCTTTAGAAAAGAGTAGAGCACACATGCTGTATTAATCATGATCTGACATTTCTTTCTAGAATTCAATGAAATTTTCAATACTTACACTCTAAACTGCATCAGAGTCTCCCATTGGTGTCTGTTTACCTTTTATCATAAAAATTCTTATTGACAAGTTGATCAATATGGTTGATAAATTTATCAATATCGTTGATCTTAAATTCGATGTTATTTCAGCACCAAGGACAGGGTTGGGTACTCTAACAACTAGAAAAAAGTACCAAACAAAACTATGACATGGGCAATACAAATCTAAGACTAATGCAAACATTTTGGGAACTATTAAGTTAAGGTCTTTTTGTGGATTTTTCACCCAGAGAATATTCCCAGATTTGTTGTCAATTCTGAGAACAGAGCTCCTATGTTCTCTCCTAAACATGGATAACTTTAACTACTGATAAAGTAGCATATATTTATATTATCCAGATGATAAAATGGCCATTACTTTGTGTCTTTTAAAAAGTTGTGACCATTGAGGGCCAATGAATTACAAGGAAATGGCACACTAGATGTCTCTGTTGTACTGATCATTATACTGATGACCATTCCTACTGTACTTTCCAGTTTACAATTAACGGTAAGAATGGAAGATGTTAAATAATAATAATGGAGGACAGGCGTGAGCACAGATAACACAAACACACAGTCATGTGGTAACTCCAGACAGGTTGCCTACTACCAGCTGACTAACAGCTGAAACTCAAGTCAGAGAAAGCAGTAGAGGCATTTTAAAAATGTTTTCATGGCAACTACATTTATTACAGAAAAAGCTTGTATCATATAACTTATAGAAAGGGAGTAACTCGCTCCAGGCAATAAATACATGTATAAGCACACACAGACACACACGCCCAAACACACACACACACACATACAAATACATGTACGCACACATACATACATACATACAGTAACATGTGTACACATAATATACACGTGTGCATACACACACACGTAAACTCACATATGCACACACACATGCATGCATACACCCACCAAACACACACACACAAACATATCTTGAAAGTGACTCTAAATAGTCAACATACATGTACTTCTCAAATGTGAAAACCATCCCATGAGTCTACATAGCTACATTAATCTTTATGTAAGCAATACATCAATGATGATGTAATGGCATTTCAGCACTAAGGACAGAAACTTACTATTCTGTAAAATGGGATAGGAAAGTACATGAAGAAGCCTTTGACAAGGATAATGATTTTAAAACTTCCACTGTTAAGGGGTTTCCCAGAGGAACAGGATTCATGAATCCATTTTTTTTGTTAAGAACAGCTAAATTCATACTATCAAGTACTGTCA